CTCAGAGATGAAAGCTTTAAGTGCTGTTTATCTGATGGGGGCAGTTTTGGGGTCGACCAGGTCTTCCAGGTGGTTGATAGAAGTCTCTTGCTCTCCTCTAGGTCAGCCTCAGTGATCTGACTGGCTAAACTTCTGAACATAATGTAGATAAATTCTGTGAAGAATTGCTTTGCCTGGTTATGAGCTTTGGTTTAGAAGTGTGATGTGTTACTTTTCTTCTTTTTGCTGTTGCCATGTAGCCTTTAGTTTGGTATAATAGAGGGGGGGGTTCTGTTGCCATTGGCTTACTGACCAGGGGTTTAGACATGGATGTCAGTTAGGCAATATGGTATATGTGTAATATTTAGTATTCGGAATGTAAGCTCCCCGGACAAAACTTAGTCACCTTGCATGTTTATGGTGGTAGTAACTTCCGGCTCCTGCACATGGCACTGCACGAGGATGGTCAGGCTATAAATACCTGCAGGGTGTGTGACGGGATTCATAGATTGAGAAAAGGTGGCACAGTGCAGTGAATGTCTTGTTCGATGTTTGGTAAACAGGTTGCAAAGCAGATGTTAATGATTGGCATAATGGAGTGATTACTTTTGGGCGGCCAAAGGCCACAGTGTGAAGGAAGTAGCTGAATATGCAGGTGTATTGAAGTGTACGGTCATACGGGTTGTCCTGCAGTGGCAAAAATCCCAGCCTACAGGAAATTCTTGTCAGAATTGTCGCAGAAAGACAAAACTGACAGACAGGAATCGCCAGCGTGTTTCACAGTTTGTGGATAAAAATCGCTTCCCTGTGGAGAGTTCTTTCAGAAATTGGTTGTGAAGAACCTACACTGACTTCTAGAAGCAACTTTTGCCTGGAAGAGAAGCAATTTTTATTCACAAGGTGACTAATTTTTTGTCTGGGGAGCTTATTTTGTCATGGATTGCACTGTATTTGAAATGTATTTCAAATATATTACGATCCATAGATAAGATATCCATATATTTATTTATTTTTTTCCATATGGGTTAACAGATTCACCAACGTCAAACAATTCGATTCATTTACAATTCTTTTTTGGAAAATGAAAGTGACTCATGGCATCATGAAATCTCATATTTCATTATGATTTAGTTCAGTTCATCCAATTATTTTGGTTGATTCAAATAATACAATAAATAAGTTAAGCAGCTCACAACAGCATTGAGCTGTTGAACCGAATCAAATTCATCTTCGACTCCCATCATCTTTCCTCTCATCTAACAACCGTTAATGCACCACACCTCGTTCTAAATCTAGCCCCTCCATATCACAATGGCATACACTCTGATGAAGTTCTCTACCTAAGCTTTCACAATTTCTCACAACACTGCTTCAGAATGAGCTCCTGCTGGACAGAGACTTCTGGAGCACTGTGGTTCTCGGCATGTGAGGGTCCCTCAGACACTTGAATACAGTCCACCTAAACAGCTTTCAGTTTAACTTGGACTTCTTGGGGGCCTTCTATCTCCAGGCAGAAGCCATCCAGACCTCCAGGCCAAAGCTCTCCAAGTTCCTTCAATCAGTCTCCCCTCAAACTACCACCTTACTTTGAAGGCACGGTCTGAACTTGCATCCCATGGACCATGCCTGAGACCCCTCCTCCTTCCAGTCTAACACCCTTACAAATTCCCAACTCTACCTTTCATTTCCCATGATGAACATTCCGCAATCTCCACCATCCCGTCTCCTCCTGGTCCCTCAGTCCTCAGAAACTACCACAGTTTAAAAAGAGGTTCTGTCCTCCCATTTCCAAGCAGAAGCTGCACAGAACTCCAGCCCACGTTCTCAGATTCTCTCCCCTCCCTCAATCACAAAATCCCCTCATACTGCCACCACATGCTGCAGACAGTACAAACATGGAAAGATCAAGCTACATACTTAAAAAAGATGGTTCTTTAAGGGTTCTTTACTAAAAAATTGGTTCTATAGAACCATGAACACCCAAAGAACCCTTTGCATAATTTAAGGGTTCTTTGCATCTTGAAAGGATTCTTCAGTTTGATGGAGAAAGTGCCATAGATGGTTCTATATAGATGCTTTTTGAAAAGGGTTCTACATAGCACCAAAATATCATAATGTAAAATTATGTTGCAACAATAAAAGAAAACAGGTTTCTTGAGTGTTTATGGTTCTAAATATAACCATTTTCTTTATTAAGTAACCCTTAAAGAACCATGTTTTTAAGTGTAGCAGAGCAGAGTGATGAAATTGTGTCAGCAGTCTTGTATAACAAAGGAAGAGCAAAGCCCAGTCTGAACATATCAAATCAAATGTTATGGTTTTGAATTATTAAGTGTAGTAAAGGACTTATAATCAGCTTTGGCTGCCATTTTTCAAGTTTGAAAAGGACACTGTGTCAGATCGCACTGATTTCTGGGTATGATCCGCTGCTGATGTTAACACTTATGTTCGCTTGGTCCCTCCGAGGACTCATCTAACAGATGTCACCTCTGCTAGTACAGTAATGGAACGACCTTTAAAGTGGCATCAGGGATCCCCCTGAGGGGAACTGGGGAGCCTAAGTAAACGAGGGCATGTTAACAGTATTAAAGTAGACGGCAAGTCACAGACAGGTACATACAGAGATCATCCATAATCAAAACCAGGAGAACAGAGCTGGAGTCAAAACACAGAAATAGAATCTGGACTCTGGAAAATACGGATTACAAAGTAGGACTTGCCAAACCCATAAAGTCCTACAAGAGCTCCCTCAGACTGTCAGACTCTCAGACACTCAGACACTCAGACTCTCAGAGTCAGACTGTCAGATTCTCAGACTGTCAGACTCTCAGACTGTCAGACTCTCAGACTGTCAGACTGTCAGACACTCAGACTCTCAAACTCTCAGACACTCAGACTGTCAGATTCTCAGACTCTCAAAGTGAGACTCTCAGATTGTCAGACTCTGAGACTGTCAGATTCTCAGACTCTCAGATTGTCAGACTCTGAGACTGTCAGATTCTCAGACTCTCAGATTGTCAGACTCTCAGACTGTCAAACTCTCAGACACTCAAACCCAGCTTATATCATATATATATATATGTATGTATATATATACACTTACATACATACACGTAAGATTACCTATAGTCATATGTATGGATAATGGTAAAAGATCATAAACAAAACAAATGAGTGAATAAACAGTACATAAATAGTAAATTTAAGAGGATAAGTAGTGATAATGTTATAGTGGAGTTCTAAAGAGGTTCCTGAAGATCCTTCCTGAGATGATGTAGAGCTGAGACATATTTGACTGATAGCATCGCCGTCTCAGCTTTTTCTTGAAGAGCAACATAAAGATTATGAGAGTCTGACAGAGAAGAGACGCATTATTCATTTTCCCAACCTGTTAAAGGAACGCTTCTCTGACTGAGTGGTACTTTGGGCAGTGTAATAGAAAATGCCCTGGGATGGACTGGCAACCTGTGGAGGGTGTATCCTGCCTTCCACTCAATGACAGCTGGGATAGGCTCCCAGCACCCCTGACCCACCCTTGACCCAGAAGGATAAGCGCTTTAGAAAATGTGTTTGGTCCTCTGCATCAGACTGCAGTGTGTGCAGGTTCTCTCCTCTCTGGGCTTCCAGGTTCTGTGGCGTCTTCCTCTCTCCACCTCCAGCCTGGGTTCACTGGTCTATACTTTGTGAGGAATTTTCTTTCCTGCACTTTGATGTTTAGATGATGCGCCAGTTTGGTGGTGCGATTTAGGGATCGGAAACACTTTAGTTTTATTTGCTGATTCTATTCATCTGTCTAAATCTCATTGTATTTGAGAGTGAGAGTTTTACCAATTAGTTTGATGCTGTTTGTGGTGGAGGAGGAGGAGGAAGAGGAGGAGGAGGTAAAGGCCCAGTTCTGCTCTGCAGGCATTATTGAAGGTAAATTGTTTTTAGCAAATTCTGATTGTATTTTTTCAATTGGATTTTTATCCCAGTGTCTTAAATCCAGACATAACTTTGGTCTCCATATTACACATCCATATAGCAGAATTGGTTTTATTATTGAATTGGATTGTGTGATACACTACACGGTCAAAAGTATTGGGACACCCCTGCTAATTATTGAGTTTAGATGTTTCAGCTACACTCATTACTAACAGGTGGATCAAATTAAGCACATGGAAGCAACATCAGCAAAAGAATTGTGCATTAGGAGCTTCACAAAATGGGTTTCCATGGCTGAGCAGCTGCACACAAGCCTAAGGTCAGAATGCGCAATGCCAAGCGTCAGACTGAGTGGTGTAAAGCACATCATCACTGGACTCTGGAGCAGTGGAAATCTATTCTGTGGAGTGATGAATCACGGTTCTCTATCTGTCAGTTTGATGGATGAGTCTGGGTTTGGCGAATGCCAGGAGAACGTTACCTGCCTGACTGCACTGTGCCAGCTGTAGAGTTTGGTGGAGGAGGGATGATGATATGGGGCTGTTTTTCAGGGGTTGGTCTAGAACCCTTAGTTCCAGTGAAGGGAGATTTTAATGCTTCAACAGACCAAGACATTTTGGACAACTCTATGCTTCCAACTTTGTGTGAACAGTTTGGGGAAGAACCTTTCCTGTTCCAGCATGACTGAGCCCCAGTGCACAAAGCAGCTCCATAAAGGCCTGACTGGGCCCTCACAGAGCTCTGACCTCAACCCCATCAAACACCTTTGGGATGAACTAGAGCGGAGATTGTGAGCCAGGCCCTCTCGACCAACATTAGTGTCTGACCTCACAAATGCTCTTCTGGATGAATGGACAGAAATTCCTACAGACAAACTCTCAAAATCTTCTAGAAAGCTTCCCAGAAGAGTGGAAGCTGTTAGAGCTGCAAAGGGGGGCCAACTCCATATTAATGCCTATGGATTTAGAATGGGATTCATAAAAGCTCCTGTAGGTGTGATGTGTAGGTGTCCCAATGTATTGCATCATTTGGCAGTTTAACAGACACCATTTGTATCTCTCTCTCTCTCTCTCTCTCTCTCTCTCTCTCTGTATCAGGTATGTGGTCATTCTCTGTATCAGAGTTGGCTCTTCCAGGGGTCGAGGTTGGCCGCCTGTCGGCGACTGATGCTGATCTGGGGGAGAACGCTCGGCTGGACTTCACCATCACAGACGGCGAAGGAGGAGGAACCTTCAACATCACAGCGGTCAACCAGGAGGGCGTCATTCTACTCAACAAGGCCAGCAGAGAAATCACACCAAAATGCACAAACCCCTTCAAAATGTTTTTAGAGGAATGATAATAAATAATAATACAGATAATAAATACGATCATTTTGAAGTCTTGCAGATTTCGTGTAATGACTTCTAAATGTCCACGATACTGGACAGTGAAATCCACTGAAAATGATATAATCCCCAAATGTCTGGAACATCATCTACCATCACTCCTAAATAAAATGTCCAAATGTCCAAATAACTGGAAATTTGAAATACTTGAAATAATCTGAACTTTTCTTTCTTTTAAATTCATCAAAAATTATAAAATATTTCTGCCTTTTATTTCCAGTTTTAAATGAAAAAAATCCCAGATTGTCAGACTGTTGGACCCTACTGTGTGTGTGTGTGTGAGTGTGTGTGTGTGTGAGTGTGTGTGTGTGTGTGTGTGAGTGTGTGTGTGTGAGTGTGTGTGTGTGTGAGTGTGTGTGTGTGTGAGTGTGTGTGTGTGTGTGTGTGTGTGTGTGTGTGAGAGTGTGTGTGTGTGTGTGTGAGAGTGTGTGTGTGTGTGTGTGAGTGTGTGTGTGTGTGTGTGTGTGTGAGTGTGTGTGTGAATGTTTGCATTCTGAAAAAGGTCTGACTGCCCTTTAATGCTGACTTTAGGTTACCTCTGTCAGAGTGAAATGAGATATTATCTGAATCCCAGAGAGAGAGAGAGAGAGAGAGAGAGAGAGAGAGACAGAAGAGTGAGACAGAAGAGAGAGTGAAAAAGGGAGAGAGGCAGACAGTGGAGAGAGACAGAGAGAGAGAAATAAGAAAAAGAGAAAGAAGAAGAAAGAGGAGATAGAGAGAGAGACAGAAGAGTGAGACAGGAGAGTGAGACAGGAGAGAGAGAGTGAAAGAGGGAAAGGAGAATAATTAAACAACCGAAATCAAAAGCCTTAGACCCAGAGAAGCCTGCAGCCCTGACAGCATCAAGACAGGTGAGGTAGAGACGGAGGAGAGAGTGTGTGGTCACTGCAGGACAAGTGAGGTAAAGACAGGAGAAAGTGTGTGGTCACTGCAGGACAGGTGAGGTAGAGACAGGAGAAAGTGTGTGGTCACTGCAGGACAGGTGAGGTAGAGACAGGAGAAAGTGTGTGGTCACTGCAGGACAGGTGAGGTAGAGACAGATGTGTGCTTCCTACAGAACTGTCCAGAATTCATTTCTATCAGAAATAAATATTTGAATCAATTTGAAAAACAGATAAACAGCTTCAGGACGCTGGGAGATCAGTTATTGATTATATTAGGAGAGGGTCCATCAGCGCCCACTGCAGCCAGATATGTGTACGAGCATCCTTCGCTCCAGGACAGTGAGTGACCACCACACCACAACCTTTTCTTTTACTCTTTTATATATGAATATATGTAATATAGATGTGTTTTTTTTTCTTTTTTCCTTTCTGAATTACATAAATATATTTGATAATTAACTCATTAACTTTTCTCTTGTTCAGTACTGCATGCGCATATCAAATACGTTTTGTTTTGTTTGAATTATATATTTTTCTCTCCTTTCGTGTTTTTGTCTTCTAATAAATGGATAATTGTTGTAGTGCTTTGACAACAAATGTACATTTGTCACGTCAATAAAGCAAACTTGAAATTAAACTTGAAAAGAGAGAACAGAAAGAACAGAAAGAAAGAAAGAAAGAAAAAAGACAGAGAAGAAGAAAAAGTGAGAGAGAAAGAGAGACAGAAGGAGAGAGAAAGAAAGAGAGAGAGTGAAATATTAAAATAAGTTTTATCACAATTCAATCTTAAAGTGAGAAAAGAAACACAAACAAAAAGAGAGAGAGAGAAAGAAATATGCAGAGAGAGAGAGAGAGAGAGAGAGTGAGAGAGAGAGAGAGGCGGGAAGTGGGAGACTGATGAATGAGAATGGAAAGATTAGATACAGATGAATAGGTTTAATTTATTGAATATGAATTGGTTTGCTGATGTAAATTGCGGTGAGCGTGCGGCGCTGAGCGTGCGGCGGTGAGCGTGCGGCGGTGAGAGAGGGCCGTGGTTGACCCGCCGCCTCCTGAGAGCCTTCAGGCAACTTCCATTTATTTAAAACATCAGCTTTTACTCCCACGGAAAACGTAGCGCTCGCATAAAAGGACCTAATGTGGCCATAACTCGCTCGGAACTAATTGAAAAAGTGGGAGCGATTCCACCTTTCAGCTGTCCGGAAATAATCAGGAGAGCAGGAGAAACGAGGAGCGAGCTGTTTTTCCGCCCTGATAAAGCGCCGGCAGAGAGAGCTGAGAGTTAAAGAGTTTGGCGGGAGGTATCAGACGGCAGAGGCAGAGTTAGTGATAAGAAGTAAACACAGAGCGACTGATAAGAGGAAGGAAGAGGAGAAGGAGAGAGCGAAGGTTCCAGAGATGAAGGGAACCTGTCGGAGAGAGCGAGAGAGAGCGAGAGAGAATGGCAGGCTGAGAGAGAGCAGATGAAAGAAAGGAGCGGCTGAATGCGAGCGGCGGAGAGAACAAATGCAGGGAAAGAAAGCAGGAGCGTAAGAGACGGAGAGACTTGGGATAGAATGATAGACAGAGAGAGAGAGAGAGAGAGAGAGAGAATGAAGGGAGACTCTGATTAGCATTTGGTGCTAGTCAGAGTGACAGAAACTTCCATTAGCATGTTAGCGTGGAGTCGTTCTGTCTGCCAGTCTTACTGACTCCATTACTTACTGCTACAGTACAGCCTCTATAACCTGCAGATTCAGTGCTGTTATTACTGTAAATGACGTTAATGTGCTTCGTTATGGATGGTTTTCCTTCCCTAAAGCGCTCGTTAGTTTGGTGGAACGTGAAAAGTGCACGATTTTCCACTTTGACCCCAAAATGTAGTCGATCAGTGAAGACATGTTTGGTGTCTGAAGTTGTTCTTTACACTTTGGATAGACCTACATGGCTGATGTAGCTGGAACCTTAATCAGCACACATTCTTAAAAGAGGTGGTTCTTCAGTAAAGACACATGGAACCATAAACACTCAAAGAACCATTTGCCTGCTTTTCATGGCGGAATGGTGCTTCAGATTGTTGTGTTGTACATGGTTCTGTATAGCACCAAAAATGGTTCTGCTACTGTTATGATGTCAAATATTTGGTGCTGTATAGAACCATTTTCAAAAGGGTTCTCTGTACAACCATATACAGCACATTCTCCATCAAGCTGAAGAACCATTTCACCACGCAAAGCAGGCAAATGGTTCTTTGAGTGTTCATGGTTCTGTGTAACCATTGTCTTTACTAAAGAACCACTGAAGAACCATCTTTTTTTAAGAGTGTAGTTCAAGTATTGTAGAAACTGTGCGCTTGCATCTTATTTTTGGCTGAACTATTGAGTGACTGTGCTTCATCTACATTTGCGCCCCCAGGTGGTGGATTATGAGCGGCGCAGCTCCTACACTCTCACAGTGGAAGTGCAGAATCCCTCGGTGGACCCTCGCTTTCTCCGCCGTGGGCCGTTTAAAGACCGAGCGACGGTCCGGATCACCGTCCTCAACGCTGACGAACCACCTCGGTTCTCACGCTCGCGATACAGGCTGGACGTGTCTGAAAACTGCCCGCCAGCGTGTGCTGTGGGACGGGTCGCTGCCGTGGACCCAGACACAGGCCTCAGCAACAATATAAAGTATGAAGGCTCTCTCACTTGCACATACACATACTTTTACTAAAGAAATAAACCACTCGGGGCCATGAATTACAGTCATTTTAGTCACCACTAAGGGCTGTTGTTAGGCATGACACACAGCAGGAAATATAATATGATTCAATACACAAATGTTCAATTCATATTTAATACTTTTTGCTACTGTTTAGTAAATAGTTCACTGCTATACAGCACAATACTAATGAGGGAGGAGGAAGCCTTTTTGTTCACAGCCAATTCTTTCTTTTTAGTAAGTGAAAGGGACTGAAGATGCAAACTAATCCCCTCTGCAACCATATGGGATATTCATTGTCATATTTTGTGCTTCACAATGCATAATGTTTTCAAAAGGAGACAGGTCTGGACTGCAGACAGGTCAGTCTAGTCTGTTGTAACACTAGTGGAATGTTTCCTGGTGTTGTCACACTGAAATATGCAAGGACATCCCTGAAAAGAACGGCGTCTAAATGCGGCATATGTTGCTCCAGAATGTCAGTGATAATTGTGCTTTCACAGATGTGCAGGTTACCCACATATACCCCCCTAAACCATGACAGACACTGGCTTTTCAACTTTATGCTGGCAACAATCTGAATGGCCCAAAGAACACAATGTCCATTATTTCCAAAAACAATCTGTGCATCAGTCCATTTTCAGATGAGACAGAGCCCAGAGAAGGCGGCAGCGTTTCTGGACGTTATGAGATATGACCTCCACTGTGCATAGTACAGTCTTAACTTGCGTTTGTGGATTCAGTGATGAACAGTTCGTAGAAGTCCGATCTCCATCACAGATTGCTGGTTGCTAATGCATTGCCATTTGAGGGGTCAAAGGTCACGAGTGTAGTTTTAGGTCTTTTTCTTTATGCACAGAGATTTATTCAGATTCTCTGAATCTTTTCATGATGTTATGCACTGTAGAGGGTGAAATACCTAAAATCCTTCAAAGTGGTCAGTGATGAATGTTATTCTTAAACAGCTGGATTTTTTGCTGATGCTTTTTTGGCACAGTAACGAGCCTCGACCCATCCTCACTCAGGTCTATCCTGGATGCTCCTTGTATATTCAGGTGTGATTGTATGACTTGTTTACAATGTTTTGCAGGCAACAGTTTCACAATGATCACATGTTTACAAAAAACAGTGAAGAAATAAGATTAAACATTAAATATCTTGTCTTTGTACTTTTTTTTTGTTTAAATTCAGGTCAAATTAGATTTACAAATCACTGCTTTCTGTTTTTATTTGCATTTTACATACTGTCCCAAATTATTTTGAGGTTTCTATATTCAGATCCACACATGCTCACACACACAAACCCAGTCACGCTTGTGTACACCGATGCTTATATAAGACCAAGGAGTTGATCCACTTTGCTGGTTTGTGTGTTTTGCCACTTTCTACAATCCTATTTTCTTAATGTTTGAGTTTTTGTCCCAGCCTTATTTTACTATTCTGTTATTCTGAGTCGATGACTTTGATTTTCACAGAATTTTAATCCAGACAAACGCTGAGTGAAGCTCACACCTTCTTTCCTGTGTATTTTTTGATGTGTTCTGATGTTTTTTTTTCCTCTAAATAGTGTTATTATTGTCCATAAACTGTTAATCACATGGATATACATGGATCCATAAATATGTGCACTATTATTACTGCTATTATTGTTATTTTAGCTACCACAGCACATTAGAGTTCAAATTAAATACTGAATATGGGCTCAAAGTGCAGACTTTCAGCTTTCATTTTAAGATTTTCACATCCGAATCAATTAAACAGTAAATTACAACCATCGTCACACAATGTCCCCCATTTATAGGAGCTCAAAATCAATTGGAAAAACTAATGTAATTATTAATTAAGCTGTCATATGTAATACTTGGATGTTGTCAGTATATTCCAATATATAAATAGACTTATTTTAATGTATTTTTGATGTGTGACATTTTTTTTTATTTTTGTGTGAATGGGTCACCATTTGTCAGCCTGTGGTCCGGTTTCAGTTTGACCAATCAATGAACGCGTTTACATGCACTTAATATTCTGATAACTGCAGAAAATCAGATTTTGTCAGTAATCCGATCAACACGTTTACATGCACTTGAGTAATCAGATAATGGGGAAACTCCAACTCTACGTGAGTCAGACAGTAATCAGATTTCTGCTTTGTAACCAGCCGAAATAAACTCACAGAAGACGCGACATAAACGTGATGTAAAACTCAAACTTCATACTGCAGCTTTTTTTTTAAACATTGCGCCACTTTACCTGAAAATATGAACAAAGATCGTCTAGAAGACGAAGAATATTTAAATCCCTTATTTCATCAAGCATGTAGTCGGTTTGAGTGTTGCTCCAAAAGTGTTTTGCTGCGTCTGACGGTGACGCTGCTCGCTTATCTCCGGTACCGCCGTCTGTTTTCGCACATGCTCAGACTGAGAAATGCGAAAGAAATCAGAGTAAGAGTTCACAGCACTGAGAAATCTGATTACTGAGCTAAAATCCAGCCTCTTTATCAGATTTCTTATTCGGATTTCTAGACCTTACTCCAATCTAAGAAATCAGAGTGTGCTGTTTACGTCACCATTTGAATAATCAGATAAATGCAGAAATCTGATTTTGATTGGATTATGGAGTGCATTTAAAAGAACCCAATGATTTTCAGTACAATAAGCTTTTAGATAAGCTGTTTGGTTTGGCTAAATAATTTCTATTTTCTGTTCTCCTTCTTCTTATTATAATGATGGTTATTATTATTGGCATGTTGATTTATATTTGGTTTGCTTCATGTTTGTCTTATTTTTTTCTTATTTGTTCTTTATTATTTACAGCTTGTTCAGCTCTGATTGTTTTAAATGTGCCTTACAAATAGGATTTGTTTACTCGTTATTTACTGAGTGTAAACACACTCTGATACTCACAAACAAATCCTGATTATATGATTAGATAACAAGCTCGTCTTATTTATGCCTTCATTTCTCTGTCATCCCTTATTTCTAATGATGACTCACTCTGTGTGCCTGTCTCCTTTAATCCATCTACCCCTCCATCTCTCTCTCTCTCTCTCTCTCTCTCTCTCTCTCTCTCTCTCTCTCTCTCTCTCTCTCTCTCCCTCTCCCTCATTTCCCCTCTCTCTATCTCTCTCTCTCCCTCTCCCTCATTTTCCCTCTCTTTCTATCTCTCTCTCCCCCTCTCTCTGACCTCCATCTCTCTCTCTCTCTTTCTCTCTCTCCTCTTTCTCTCTCTCTCTCTCTGATCTCCTCTCTCTCTCTCTCTCTCTCTCTCTCTCTCCCCCTCTCTCTCTGACCCCCTCTTGCTTAGGTACTCTATTGACCCCGAGTCAGACCCCGAGGCTTTGTTCCGTATCGCCCCTGACAGCGGCCTCATCACCACGGTGAAGGAGCTGGACCGCGAGCACGAGCAGTGGCACAACATCACTGTCATCGCCACTCAGAGAGGTACCACACTCTCCGGCTCTTAAAGGGCCAGAAGTTGATTTTTTACCGAACTTTCACTTTTATGGGCTTTTTTTATTTATTTTTTTCAAAGCACCTCTTCAAAGCTGCAGAGCGTTACTGCTACCCAGAGAGGCTGTTCAGGGACCGGCATGTTCCTGACGTTGGATATTTTAAAGGTGCAGAGCGTTATTCCCAACCCCTCAGAGCTTCAGCACAAACAGATACTGTTACAGGCCCAGCATCTAGCTCTTATTAGCAGTGCATTATTAGCAATACATTAAACAAAACCATTAGAACTTATTAGCAATACATTAAAGAAAACTCCTCTGTATCAACAGTTCAGGTTCAGTGCAGCTTCTCAGTCCTACAAATGAGCTTCTTTGTCACGGATTCTGCAGAAAACACTTCCCAGCCTTTGAATCAGGATCTGAAGGTCGTTCGAGCTTCAAGCCTGGACCTGCTTTAATTCTTTGGTTGTGCTAAATTCACTCATTTCAGGAGAAGAACTCTCAGGAGAGCCGCGTAAATCTGACGGCAGCTTTTGCTCACATGAATAAAATTATTCCGGTAACAAACAGTTTAATTTCGTGAAGTCAGCGCGAGGCTTCTGTCAAGAACGAGAAGTTTGTGGAGCAACGTTGGAGAAACATCAGAAGACACTTCAGTCCCCGGCGCGCCTTTGAAATCCGAGAGCTTGATATTTCTTGTGTTTACTGATGGGAGACGGCACGAGCTCCAGCTCAGTCTTCGCGTCTTTCTGATGACAGCGCTGCGTCTTTGTTTGTGTCTTCAGATCGGATTATCTAACAAATTTAGACGGCTTTGATTTAAAGGAGAGACCAGCGGCGTAAACAAGCTGTGAATTCCCATGCAAGCAACACCTTGAACACCACGCGGTGCTCTTTAATTCATGTTGTGTGTGTTGCCATTCGAGACCTGGACATCAGCCACGGGTCTGTAGTGTTGTTTTCATGGATTCACAAAAGAAATATGAGAAATAGCGTCTGCAGAAATGTGTTCTGTTTCTTTCTTAACTTCAGGCTTTTGATAAATTCAGTTAAAAATTGTTCATTTTTTAAAGTTTAGAATTTTCTATTTTTTTTTTGTCATCAGAAACAGTTTACTAGTTTATATGCTTTAAAAAATGAACTGTTTTAATGAAAATCTTTAATAAAATCACACGGCCAGCCAAATGAGGAAGCCGAGAGGCTGCTGCGCAAAGTCCCGCCCCCTTTAAGTTTGATTGGGATCTCTCATTCGTCGAAAGGAGACAGCGAAAAGTGACACTTCGATCCACCTATAAGGTGAAAGATAGGTAAAAAGCAGCAAATGAGACGAGAGAGAGGAGAGAGAGAGAGAGAGAGAGAGAGACATGCACACAGTGATCACATGTAACACTGTGGTTTAATTCCTGCTTTGTGTTTGTTGTTATAAACGTTGTTTGGTGAAGTTCCTCACAGTGAGCCTGATGACCACGACTGCCGTGTTATTTCAGCAGAGAATAATGTATTTGTGGATAGACTGTGTCAGATATTGGATGTCAGTTCGCCTTGACAGAACTGCAGGCGGGAGCGGGACAAAATGTTTCGGTTGTGGGCAGAAGCGGGACAAATGATTATGATTTTCTGCGGGAGTGGGATGAAATCTTGCAGGAGCGGGACTAAAAAAACAGCTTTTTCAGATCTTTAAGAAATTTTAAGATCTAATCAAAATGTGTCGTGTGCTGCTGTGGTCGATACGCTGCACAGCAAATAACAACATAATGCTAGAAAAGTTAATTGAACCGCTGTTGTTGCTAAGGTGCTGCTAAATGATTACTATGGTATTTTAGGTGGTTGTTAAAATGTTGACAGCCGATTCCAAAGGGTATCCCAGGATCCCAGTTGGTTGCTATGTACTTGCAATGGTATCCCAAGTGGTTGCTAGGGTTTTGCTAGGCAGTTGCCATGGTCTTCCAGATAGTTGCTAGGGGGTTGCTACATTATTGCTATGGTATCCCACATGATTCATGGACTGTTATGCACAAACTTCCCCATCAGACTGAACTTTTTGGAGTGTCGAGGATACGTCGATATCAGGTCTGCAGGACGAGTAGGGCGGACAAAAACAGAACAAGAATAATAATAATAATAATAATATGAAGAATGTAAATCTAATAATAGTAGTGTGGTGTAGTGCAGCAATCTCATAAGTCAATTTAGTGTTCACCTTAAGATCCTCTTTTCTTCTGAAAGCTTTTGTGAGTCCTGCCCTGATCTCCCCCTCCGGTATCCTCATCCAAACCTGAGAGCTGGAGTGTGTGGAGGCTCCGCGTCTTATATAAGCGTGTGATCAGGACGTCAGATGAAAGGGAGCTGATGAGGGAGTGTAGGTCCCCTTCTGCGTGTGATGTAACGTTACGGTCCAGAACCTTCAAAGAGAGCAGATGCTGCCGCGTTCGGGGTCAGTGAAGTTCAGCTTCTGTGCATCAGCGCGCTGAAAGATTCAGCTCTTCCGCTTCAGTGCTGCTCTTAAAGACTCAATACGTTCTAATTATTGACTAATTAACGTTTATGTGACTCTTTTGTCAATGTATAAATAAAAATAATCTATAAAATTAAGTAAAACTAACCCAGGGATTGAAAGAGATGAAAGCTTTAAGTGCTGTTTATGTGATGGGGGCAGTTTTAGGGGTCTACCAGGTCTTCCAGGTGGTTGTTAGGAGCTCCCGTTTTCTCTGGAGCTTTTATTTTGATGAACTCCAGTTTTAGAAGCTCCTGCTTTTTTTCTTTTGATTTTGTCCTTCATTACGTAAGTGGGTTATATCGGATCATATCTGATCTCCTCAGAAACGTCTCCTGAAATATCTAATATACTTAAAGGCTGCGTGACTAGAAGAAAATGGCCTCTGATTTTTGCACAGTAATGTGTTTCGCCCAGCTCCTCCCCTTTTGGTGTAAACTGACCGGTCCTAATCTTGGGTAAAGCTCATTAAAGCACTGCCCTCACAGCAAAGCTGATGTGGTTTGACCCTCCCGAACAGCTTTAATAAAGCTATGTTTCATACGGAGCCCTGCTGGTGACATCCTGTGTAAATAAAAACAACTCGTGGCCACGACCTAGTAAGGTGTGGGAACGAGATAAGTAAGTCATGGCCGCAACTTAGTAAGATGTGCGAATGAGATAACTGACCACAGCTTAATAAGGCATGATCTTGTTCCCATGCCTTACTAAGTCATGACCATGACTTAATTATCTTGTTCTCATGCCTTACTAAGTTGTGGTCACGACTTAATTATCACATTCCCACACCTAAATAAGTCATGGCCAAGCTATAGGATCTCATTCCAACAGTTTAATACAGTGTACCCACGTGTTGTTTTTAATATTTATTATAATACGCTGTGTTAACGTGTGGGAACGAGATCCTAATACGTAGCTACAGCTTAGTGAGGTGTGGGACTGAGCCTTGACCACAACTTAATAAGGCTTAATCTCGTTCCCACACCTTACTAAGTCATGGCTACAACTTAATTATCTTGTTCCCATGCCTTACGAATGTGTGGCCACTAGTTAATGATCTCGTTCCCATGCCTTGCTAAGTCATGACCACATTATTTTTATTTATACGGGATGTCACCAGCAGAGCTCCATAGTGTCTTCATAAGTTGTGGCTGTGGCTTAATTATCTTGTTCCCACACCTTACTAAGTTGTGGCCACGCATTAGGATCTCGTTCTCACGTGTTAATACAGTGTGGCCACGCGTTATCTTTATTATGTATTATAATACACTATGTTAACATATGAGAACGAGATCCTAATGCATGCCCCTGACTAAGAAAGGTGTGGGAACAAGATAAGTAAGTCACAGCCGTGACTTAGTAAGGCGTGGGAATGAGATCATGCCTTATTAAGCAGTGATCAAGGCTTAATTATCTCATTCACACACTTTACTAAACTGTAGCCACGTATTAGGATTTCGTTTCCCCACCTTACTAAATCATGGCCACGACTAAATTATCTTGTGGCCACCCGTTATTTTTATTTATATGGGATTTCATTTATATGTCACCAGCACGACTCTGTCGTTTCAAGAAAGCTCTGGACTGAGGGGTGTCAATCAAGCATGCTTATTAGAATATTAGGACCACGCCCACTCAGAAAGGTCTGATCAGTGAGTTCAGTGGTTTTTAGCAGGTTTATCATATTTCTGTCCTGTGTTTTCATCCAAACTTGGCCCAAGTTTAATATCGTACAAACATTTTTAATATTTTACTCAGTTCCCCAGAACTTTGAGGTCTAAAGAGTAAACACAGCTAATCAGATCTTTTTCCATTCTGTTTTAAGCCACCCTCATGTTTCTGCCAACACTCGTTTCGGGAAAGACTTCTATGTTACTAATGCATTTAAAACCGTGAATTCAATAATGTGGAGAACCAAATCAGTTTTTTTTTCTGCTGTGCTGCAAAACCTCGAGGTTGTTTTGCAGCCAGAAATGTGTGAAATAAACACGTACCAACACCAGCTTTGACCTCGAAGGCCTGTTTCATGCGACAATGTTCAGATTGTAATGAAAAAAAAATCATTTCATGCAGAATAACTCAATAGAAAACAGCGCGCCGGCCCAAAAGGCTCCGGAGTTATCCGTCCGTGCTTCAGTGGGAATCATAAGTCTAATCTCTGAATCTCTATTCCGGTAGCGGAGCTGTCTATCTGTCTGTTTGATTGCCTTTTTTTTTCCCCCTCACTTTCTCAGATAGTCCCAGCCAGGTTACCAGGGTAGCGGTTGCCATAGAGACGCTGGACCTGAACGACAACGCCCCCGAGCTGGACAGGCAGTACAACACGGCCGTCTGCGACTCCAGCGGCGCCGGACAGGTCTGAACTTTTCCTCTGACCTTTGACCTGTCCAATACCCTGGTGACCCAACCGCAAAGAGGTCACACTTTAAAGCGATAGTTTGGCCAAACATGGACTGAAGTTTGGACACATTTTATTCTTCACTGTTTTGTGATGTACTTTTGTCCAGTTGTCCATCCCGGCAGTTCTCAATACCATTAGGCTTAGTGCCCTGATAGTAAGAGCACAGTGGTCCACTGTTGGCCCAGTGGTGACAAAGCTGGTGGTCCACTGGCGATTTGCTTAGTGTTTTCTGGGCAGCCCACCAGTGTTTAAGCATTAAGAGTATTAGACAAAATTCCACTTATCATCACTCATTTTCCACTCAGAGTCCAATTTACTTATTTTTCCTTCCTTCCTTTCTTTAGTTATACTTTGTAAATTAGTTTAGTAATAATTTTAATTCAGCACAGAGTCAGTGACAATTAGTGTGTTTACATTCACTTAAAAATCTGATCCTTATCTGATTATTCAAATGTTCATGTAAACACTATACTCCGATCTAGAAATGAGGAGATCTGATAAAGAGAGTTGGATTTTAGCTCAGTAATCAGATTTCTCAGTGCCTGTGACTCTTACTCTGATTTCTTTCGGATTTCTCGGTCTGAGCATGTGCAAAAACAGACTGGAAATAAACAGCGCAACAAAACACTTTTGGAGAGACGCTGAAAACAAATACATGCTTGACTTAATGAAGGATTGAAATATTCTTCAGATTCTAGATGGCGTATGTTTATATTTTCACGTAAAGTGACTCAGTTTCTTTTTTTTTCGCAGCATGAAGTTTGAGTTTTACATTACGTTTATGTCGCGTCTTCTTCTGTGAGTTTATTATTACTCAAGTGCATGTAAACGTGTTGATCAGATTACTGACAAAATCTAATTTCCTGCAGTTATCGGATTATTGAGTGCATGTAAACACACTCAATGTTTTCTATAAAGTAATTTAATATCAGGCCTAGTTATTATCTTTTTCTCCATCAGTTGTTTGTAATATTTGTCTTAGTTTATTTTCTAAAATAAAAGTCTCTGTGCGTTTAAAATCTGTTTGAGGAGGTTAAAAACTAGTTAGATCTTGTATGCAGCAGTGGCAAACAGCCAGCGGGGTCCCGACCTTATCAAGCCAGCAGACCGATATATGCTCGCTATCTGGGTGGGATTACAAACAGCTTTAGGTTTAGCTTTGGGGTTGATGGGTCAGGTTTAGGGTTAGGAGAAAAGTCAGGGTCAATTTACTTTATATTTATTTGAATGTAAATGAAATTTAATGGTTATTTATGTGAAATTTAATGGTAACACTTTATTTTGAGAGTCTGTTGTATTAAAGTACCCATAATTATCGCTGTTATTTTGTATTTTCTTTACATTTTCTGAAAATACTGGCTTTCATTTACACTATATTAAGATCTCATGACAAACGGATCACTGAAAACAATTAAAAATAACTTATAAAAATCTTGTTTGGACAGTGACGATATTCTATTTTCTTTTTTCTTTTATTTTTTTTTCTCCCAAGGTTTGCTTATAAACAATGTGTGGTTTCATTTGCCGTATATATTGATATTTAATTTCTATATGATTCCATTTTAATCCTTGGAATTAAAACGACTTCCGTCACTGCGTCTCTAAGCCTGACATATGTAAACGAGCTTCCTTCTGACTGGCTCTGCCTCATTCAAAAAAGCAGTCCAGGCTAAAACACTCATAATTTCAGGCTGAGTGGGTGGAGCTAAAGTGCTGTAGGCTGAATAGATAGATATATGTAAATGAGTCGGTTTTAGTGACGTCACAAAAACGCTGAGCTGTATTTGCAGCTTAGTTTCCACATACAGTGAATGATATGTTTCCATACTACATCAAACTTTTTAAAAATAAAGAAAAGTTTTGTGAAATGGGTCCTTTAAATAACAAACCCAGAATCTAAACCAAATCCTAATCTTAATCCTAACCCTTTTAAAAAGGTAAATAATTAGCGTTATTCGTAGACATATGCGGAATTGCCGTATGCAGTCAGCAGGCAGTGGCCCTATTGGACCTGCTCATATAAAACTCCGGCTGCATTGTGTCTGTGTGTGTCAGGTGGTGCAGGTCATTCGGGCGATCGACAGAGACCAGAGCAGCTACAGCTCCCCCATTCACTTCAGCCTGCCCTCGGACCGCAGCCTCGCTCTCAACATCACCGTCCAGGAGAGAGGAGGTGAGCCACTCATCAGTCCAGCCTTTTCTTCTTCTCTTTCAGCGCTCTCTGTTCCAGTGAACTGTACCCTCGCTTCATCTCTCTCTCTCTCTCTCTCCCTCTCTCTCTCTCTCTCTCTCTCTCTGTATTTCTTATGTTTACCACTTTTACTGATTTACTGCAGGATAAAATTAACTTATGTTAATGATAATTAAACATGATTAAAGCTTTTCTGAAAAGTGGCTGTGGAAGTAAGTAGCTCTGCTGCTGCAGTCGCTCTGCAAAGCGTCAGAACAAAACATGTTTACACAGTTAGAATCTGAACAGTAAACACGAGCAGAGCTGGTGATAATTTCATATTTATGTAGTTATAAAGAAATATGAGAGGTTCAGTGTAGTCGTTTAGTATAGTAAGTGTGGTGAAGTGAATTCTCATACCTTCCCAGCTCTCAGTCTGTCAGCAGGCTGTAATTAAAGAGGAGTCTTCAGACTTTTTTAGCCTTTCTGCTAAAAGTGTGGTTTGGTGTGAAACGGTTCTGATGTCTTTACAGTGGTGGTGATAGGAACCAGGGGTCGCCATGACTACAACACAAATATAGACATTTTATTTACTATCAAAACCACCAGTGAACCTACACGAGTCTTCTGAGTTTATATGGAATGTTGATGGTAAAATAGTGATAAATCTGAAACAGTAAGTTTTCTCTGGGGACTATTTTGCCTTATAACATCCGGCATGTATCCCTCAGGCATGAATGCAAATGATGAAAAGCCCGGTGTGAACACTCTTACAGTCGGATCCCTCAAACCACATTCGGAAGCAGTCAGAGACGGATCTTGACCAGATTATGATGATTGACGAGTATAAACATCCGTTATCTGTGTACCATTACATACACACACACTTTCTTCTGCTGAGTCACTGGAGCCTGTCCAAGAAAGAAGGCAGGAAACACCCTGGACAGGTCGCCAGTCCATCACAGGGCAGACACACAGACATACACACTCACACCTAGGGGCGGTTTAGTCTCTCCAGTTAGCCTGACTGCATGTCTTTGGGCTGTGGGAGGAAACCCACACAGACACAGGGAGAACATGCAAACTCCACACAGTCGCCCGGCCGGGGAATCGAACCCAGACCCCTGCTGAGTGCAAGCTAGCTGTTAAGAGAATAATCAGTGAAACCACAGAGGATATGCAAGGCTGAACTCTCCAAACCAAGAGTCTTCATGCACTCCAGGCTGATGGACAACCAAGCTTGTCCATTCACATCCTGACAGGGAAAAGAGCAAACCAATGTAAAACGGAAACAATCTGTGATGCTTTTTACGCAGGAAAAGTACAGTTAGATCTCATCTGATCAAACTGGGGATGCACTTCAGTGAAATGTGCAGTCGGAATCCAGCCATAGTTCATTTAGATAGGATCCAGACATGAAACACATGTTTATGCGAGGGTCAAACAGACTCTATGAGGACGGAGCCATTCAGCGCTTTAAATTCTATGCAGCATAAACATGTATAAACTAAATTAACTTCATAATATAAATTACCTGTAACTGATTGTACATGTAAAATTTTGAATAGCTATCTAAACTATTGTAAAAAAAAAAAATTAATATTCTTAACAATTTCATGTAGTCAACTCTCTTTGACGAAGCTTTTAGAGGTGGACGTCTGGTTCCTATCACCACCACTGTGAACTATTCTGACTTCTCTAGAACAGAGCGTTTCACACCAAACCACTCTGAATGACTCTGTTTACATTTTAACTAATAATTAAGAAAAAATAATCGCATTTCCCTTTAAAGCTACCCTGTCCAATAGGGGGTGCTGGTGTATTTGTTCAAAAGCAGCACTAAAGGTGGAGCAAAGTCCATTTACTACAGAGTACCGGTCAAAAGTTCTGAGTTTTGGTGATTCGTTATCTTTAATATCCTATTATTTATTACTTTTATGTACCATCTTTTATCTGGACACACCTGGTAAATGATCATTGAACACAGCCTTTATAGGAGCCTACATGACTAGTGTTAGCACTACCAGCTTCTGGCACTATCGAGTATCAATTGGCAGCTTCCATTTAGAACCACATGTTTACTTTCATGTTGGACCTCAATCATCCTCATTACTCTGCACGCCTCATTAAAAGTGTTAATTAACAGAACGAGGGTTAATGCGTTTGAGCCAGTCAGGTGTGCTTTGAGGTAGAGGGGGTCTAAATGAATCCATGTGGTGGGAGGTCAGTGTTTCTGAATGTGAAAATAAAGAAAAACTGAGTAAGTGTGCCTTTCCACTCACATACTGTGTTGCCAGTTTATTAGAAACCCCTCTTTTGGGTGGTGGTCCATTCTCAGCACAGCAGTGACACAAACTATGCATCAACAGATGAGCTACAGTCTGTAAATGTACACCAGCAAGGAGGAGCTGCAAGAGAGGGGTTTCTGATAAAGTGGACAGGACATGTACACAGTGTATAAAACCCTAGCAACACCACATAGCAACAGATGGGCCGCAGTCGGTAACTGGAAACCTACAAATTGCACCTATATGGCAGGTGTTTCTGATGTAATGGCCAATTAGTGTAGGTGCAGAATTTACCAGAATCCACACACTGTGTTCTCCTCTAATGAAAGACTGTACGGTGGTGTGCAAAAGTTTGGGTGCCCCTGCTCAAATTACATGTTGTTGAAAATAAGGTAACATGTCCTCTACAGAGGAAACACTTCTGCACAAGAAGGTGCACAATTACTGCTTATTTGCTGAATTTAATGTGTTGGGAAAGAAGAAAACATTAAAGAAGGCTTGAAAAAGTGATGGTATATATATATATATATATAGAATGCCTTGAGAAACTTACTGTTTACTGTTCTTTGTTCTATTATTCTGTGCTTATTTGTATTGTTTCGCAGGTTTTGCATTAGAACCACAAAACTTGGCAAGATGGCAGAGTATACACAGGAATAAAGCTCTTGTGCTTTTCTGTTTTTTGTTCAAACATGATTTTTCTCCTAGAAAATTAATAAAAATTAAAATCTAATTGCAACAAATGGTGTCACAAAAAGACTCTCTTACATTGGTCCTTTACATACAGACCCACATTCTCATACTAGTACACATTGTACATGCATATTAGCAACCAACAGCCTAGCAGCACCTTAGCAACCACCTGGGATACCGTAGGAATGGCCTAGCAAAAATTTAGCAACTACCTGGATATCATAGCAATGTCCTAGCAAGAACTTAGCAACCACCTGGGATATCATAGCAATGTCCTAGCAATAACTTAGCAACCACCTGGATATCATAGCAATGTCCTAGCAAGAACTTAGCAACCATCTGGATATCATAGCAATGTCCTAGCAAGAACTTAACAACCATCTGGATATCATAGCAATGTCCTAGCAAGAACCTAGCAACCATCTGGATATCATAGCAATGTCCTAGCAAGAACTTAGCAACCATCTGGATATCATAGCAATGTCCTAGCAAGACCTTAGAAACCACCTAGGTTATCATAGCAATGTCCTAGCAATAACTTAGCAACCACCTGGGATATCACAGCAATGCCCTAGCAAGACCTTAGAAACCACCTGGGATACCATAGGATTGGCTTAGCAAGAACTTGGCAAACACTTGGGATGCCATAGCAATGCCCTAGCTAGACCTCAGCAACCATCTGGATATCATAGCAATGTCCTAGCAAGAACTTAGCAACCACCTGGATATCATAGCAATGTCCTAGCAAGAACTTAGCAACCACCTGGATATCATAGCCACGTCCTAGCAATAACTTAGCAACCACCTGGATATCATAGCATTGTCCTAGCAAGAACTTGGCAACCACCTGGATATCATAGCAATGTCCTAGCAAGAACTTAGCAACCACCTGGATATCACAGCAATGCCCTAGCAAGACCTTAGAAACCACCTGGGATACCATAGGATTGGCTTAGCAAGAACTTGGCAAACACTTGGGATGCCATAGCAATGCCCTAGCTAGACCTCAGCAACCATCTGGATATCATAGCAATGTCCTAGCAAGAACTTAGCAACCACCTGGATATCATAGCAATGTCCTAGCAAGAACTTAGCAACCACCTGGATATCATAGCAACGTCCTAGCAATAACTTAGCAACCACCTGGATATCATAGCATTGTCCTAGCAAGAACTTGGCAACCACCTGGATATCATAGCAATGTCCTAGCAAGAACTTAGCAACCACCTGGATATCATAGCAATGTCCTAGCAATAACTTAGCAACCACCTGGATATCATAGCAATGTCCTAGCAAGAACTTAGCAACCATCTGGATATCATAGCAATGTCCTAGCAAGAACTTAGCAACCATCTGGATATCATAGCAATGTCCTAGCAAGAACTTAGCAACCACCTGGATATCATAGCAATGTCCTAGCAAGACCTTAGAAACCACCTGGGATATCATAGCAATGTCCTAGCAATAACTTAGCAACCACCTGGGATATCATAGCAATGTCCTAGCAAGACCTTAGAAACCACCTGGGATACCATAGGATTGGCTTAGCAAGAACTTGGCAAACACCTGGGATGCCATAGCAATGCCCTAGCTAGACCTCTGCAACCATCTGGATATCATAGCAGTGGCCTAGCAAGACCTTAGCAACCACCTGGGATATCATAGCAATGGCCTAGCACGACTACCAACCACCTGGTATACCATAGCAATGGCCTAGCAACACCTTAACAACCACCTGGGATACCATAGCAATGGCCCAGCAAGACATTAGCAAACACTTGGGATACCATAGGAATGGCCTAGCAAGACCTTAGCAGCCACCTGGGATACCATAGCAATGGCCCAGCAAGACATTAGCAAACACTTGGGATACCATAGGAATGGCCTAGCAAGACCTTAGCAGCCACCTGGGATATCATAGCAATGGCCTAGCAAAACTTTAGCAACCACATGAAATGCCTTTGGAATGGCCTAGCAAGACCTGAGCAGCCGCCTGGGATACCATAGCAGTGGTCCAGCAAGACATTACCAGCCTCCTGGGATGCCATAGCAATGGCCTGGCAACACATTAGCAACCACCTGATATACCGTAGGAATGGCCTAGCAAGACCTTAGCAACCATCTGGATATCATAGCAGTGGCCAGGCAAGAACTTAGCATCCACCTGGGATGCCATAGCAATGGCCTAGCAACATCTTAGCAACCACCTGGGATACCATAGGAATGGCCTAACAAGACCTTAGCAACCACCTGGGATATCATAGCAATGGCCTAGCAAGACCTTAGCAAACAGATGGACGTCATAGCAATGATCTAGCAACATCTTAGCAACCACCTGGGATTTCATAGAAATGCCCGAGCAAAACTTTAGCAACCACCTGGGATATGAAGCAGTGATCTAGCAACACCTCAACAACTCTCTGGATATCACAGCAGCAGCCTATCAACACCTTAGCAACCACCTAGCAACCCTCATGGGATTTTATAGAAATGGTTTGTCAAGTCAACTTAAAGTTCATTCATCAGCTTTTTTCACAAAACCTTAAACTCAAATATAATAGAAACTCACATAAAATAGAAATAGAAATTTCTAACAATTGCACTGAAAACTGGCAGTAAAATGTCATACTTAAGTGCGTCTCTGTTGAGGGTGTGTTAACTTAATTCCACTTAGAAAATCAACAAAACGTCATTTGACCAGGGTGCTCAAACTTTTGCATACACCTGTATCTCGTGGCGCATCACACGTTTGATGAATGTTTGACGGATGTTCCCTCCCCTCCTCCCCCACAGACCACACGGCCAGTCTGGTTCTTCTGTCATCTGTGAAGCCCCTCCCTCGCTCCGCCTCTCCTTCTTTCCACACTGTGAAAATACCCATAATCCTCCGGGACGGGACTTCGGAGCTCAGCAGCACGGGGACCGTCACCCTGACCATGTGCCCCTGCCAGAACGGAGGGATGTGGGCAGAGGAGAGGAAGAGACAGACGGACAGAGGGAGGAGTGAGGACGCTCAGACGCTGATGGAGTGGGAGAGGCAGACGGTGTGCGTGCCGCTGCCGTCCACCTCCGCCCTGCTGGGCCTCAGCTCCGCCGCCATGCTGGCTGTGCTCGCCTGCTCGTCCACTCTGCTCGGTAAAACTGATCAATTAAAGCGATAGTTTGGTCAACAATCAAATGGACTCCATTTCCCCCCCTTAGTCCTTAGTAATGGAAGTTAATAGACACCAATAAGCATCACACTAACCACATGGCTAAATCATAACAAACCAAATTTCTGCATAATTCAGTGTTTGAGATGTAAACAGAGTCATTCAGAGTGGTTTGGTGTGAAATGGCTCAGATGTCTTTACAGTGGTGGTGATAGGAACCAGGGGTCGCCATGACTACAACACAAATATTGACATTTTATTTACTATCAAAACCACCGGTGAACCTACACAAGTCTTATATGGAATGTTGATGATGATGAAATAGTGAGTGTGTTTACATGCACTCCATAATCCGATCAAAATCAGATGTCTGCAGTTATCTGATTATTCAAATGATCATGTAAACACCATACCCAGATTTCTTAGATCAGAGTAAGGTCTAGAAATCAGATTAAGAAATCCCAGTAATCAGATTTCTCAGTGCATGTGAACTCTTACTCTGATTTCTTTCGGATTTGTCAGTCTGAGCATGTGCGAAACAGACTGCGGTACCGGAAATAAGCGAGCAGCGTCGCCGCGAGACGCAGCAAAACACTTTTGGAGCGACGCTGAAACCAAATACATGCTTGACTTAATGAAGGATTTAAATATTCTTCGTCTTCTAGATGATGTTTGTTTATATTTTCATATAAAGTAGCGCCAAGTTTGAGTTTTACGTTTACGTCACGTCTTCTTCAGTGAGTTTATTGGCTGGTTGCAAAGCAGAAATCTGATTACTGTCTGACTCATGTAGACCTGGAGTTTCCCCATTATCTGGTTACTCAAGTGCATGTAAACGTGTTGATCGGATTAGCGACAAAATCTGATTTTCTGCAGTTATCGGATTATTAAGTGCATGTAAACATCCTCAATTTTACATCTGAAAATATACGTTTTCTTTGGGGACTATTTTTCCCCTCATGTATCCCTCCACCATGAACAGCTTTGCAAAAAAACAAATCTTATAAACTATCCTAAAACATCAGGCAGTGAACTGGTAACATTTCATGTAGTAATTTCCTGTGAGGGAGCTTTTAGAGGTGGACGTCTGGTTCCTATCACCACCACTGTGAACAGTTCTGACTCAGTAAGTTTCTCTAGAACAGAGTGTTTCACACTAAACCACTCTGAATGACTCTGTTTACATCTCAACCACTGAATTATGCAGAAATATCTATTTAAATTGGTGGATTTCTCGTAGCTCCACTGCTAAGCTAAATAAAGCTGGACGTTCAGACGTGTCCAGGCTGATCAGCTACACTGAGGGTAAAAGGGGGAAACTGTGTTTATTCATGTTTTGCTGAACTTTCCTGTAAAGCAGCTCCTTTTGAGTTAGATTAGATATTAATGTGCTAATATGCTAATGTGGCTCTGATGTTCGGTGCTGTTTGTTCTATGAAGCGTGTAGGTTTGTTGATGATTCCTCCGTCCATCCGTCTGCCTGCCTGTCTGTCTGTCCTGTGTTCTGTCTGTCTGTCCCTGCTGGGAGCATGAGTGGACGTGTGTGTGTGTGCGTGTGCGTGTGCGTGTCAGTGTGTGTGTGCGTGTGTGTGTGTGTGTGTGTGTGTCAGTGTGTGTGTGTGTGTGTGTGTGTGTGTGTCAGTGTGTGTGTGCGTGTGCGTGTGCGTGTGCGTGTGTGTGTGTGTGTGTGCGTGTGCGTGTGCGTGTGTGTGTCAGTGTGTGTGTGTGTGTGCGTGTGCGTGTGCGTGTGTGTGTCAGTGTGTGTGTGTGTGCGTGTGTGTGTCAGTGTGTGTGTGTGTGTGTGTGTGTGTGTGTCAGTGAGCTGTTTGTCAGCTGTGTTTGGTAATGAACATGTTTGGTTTTGCTAATGCAGCAACTGAGCTGTGAGCAGCAGAGCGCCAGCGCTGAGGGCAGAGCCTGGCATTTACAACAGCTCTCTCTCTCTCTCTCTCTCTCTCTCTCTCTCTCTGTATTACTCTCTCTCTTTCACACTCTCTCTCTTTTTGTTACTCTCTTTCTATATATACATATATATATGTTCATTTATCTCTCTCTGTCTCTCTCTGTTTATCTCTCTCTCTCTCTCTCTCTCTCTCTCTCTCTCTCTCTTTCCTCACTGAATTTTTTCATCTCTTTTATATCTTTAATATTCTTTAATATTTCTCGTCATCTCTCTCTCTCTCTGTCTCTCTCTTTCTCTTCCTCCCTCACTCACTTTATCTTACTGTCTCTCATCCAATCTTCCACCCTTACACCATTTTCCAACTTCCCTTTCTTTCCTTTTCTTTCTTTCTGTTTTCTCTCTTTCTCTTTCTTCTCTCTATTTTTCTCTCCTGTCTCGCATGTGTCTCTCGCTCTTCTCCCTCGCTCAATTTCGCTCTCTTCTCTTCTTTCATTTTTATATTTTTTATATTTCTTTTAATCTGTCTGGTTTTCCTCTCCATCCTCTCTCTCTCTCTCTCTCTCTCTCTCTCTCACTCTCTCTCTCTCTCTCTCTCTCTCTCTCTCTCTCACTCTCTCTCTCTCAGTGGTAGCAGCGTTAGCTCTGTCCGTTCGGAGGCAGAAGAGTGACTCTCTCTCTCCGCTGGAGGACGATGAGATCAGAGAGAATATCATCACGTACGATGATGAGGGGGGCGGAGAGGCTGATACGGCCGCGTTCGACATCGCGGCGCTAAAGAGCGCCCCCCACAGCATGCACAGCGCCCTGCGCCTCAGCCGCAACATGTGAGTCTGTGTGTGTGTGGGTGACTGTTTTTGTATATTTGCAGGACAAAAATGTCCCAATCAGAGACGTCATGCTCACAGCTTCCTTCAAGGGGCGCAGTTTCCAAACTTAGTCACACGCTAAAAAAGCAGTCAATCAACTCAGATACTTTCAATGAATATATTGAAATTACATATTTCTCCCATAACTCTGTTATCAGATGAACTGGGACTCGCCTCTCGTCTCTCTGTGTGTGAAATGTTGTGACTCTGTGTTGAGCTGCTAGTGAGCAGTGAGGGGTTAAAGGGGGGTGGGAACCTCCTGCTGTGAAAAACTGTTCACACCTCTCCACACAGACGGAGATAAAACCGCAGCTTTTGTAAAACCGGTTTTGTTCAGAGCCTCAAAATAAATTCCATCAACATTATTAAAAATGCACAGATCACTCCAAATGGCATTTTACAGCCGCTGTGAAAAAGGAAATTCGTAGAGCTGTATTTTTTGAAGCTGCCATCATGCAAAGGAATATACTTTTTAGGAAAATATGTTTTTACTTTAAAACAATGAATGTATTAGAGTTATGTTCAGTATGTCGCTGCTGTCAGAACAAAACCTCATATCTCCAAAATAGTAAATTTACAGGAGAAGGAAAAAACCTACTTTACGTTTAATGTAAGTCGATGGAACCAGAATTTTTTCCACGTCATTTTTGGTCATTTCTCTTGGTCGATTCATTACAAAATTCACATACAATGTAAAGACCAACAGGCACTTTCAGATTATGTCAAAAACTGAAAAATGACAAAAATGGAGATACGAGGTTTTGTTCTGACAGGAGCGATATCTAGGACAGTTTCCACTTGTGCTAGAGGGGGGCGACAAAGACTTATATCCTTTTCACATCGAGTCTAGACAGAAATAAGAGATTCAGCTCTTGTGAATCGGTTTGACTGGTTTTAGCAGAATGGGCCGTTACCCAGTATCTGAGTCTCTTTGAGAGGCGCTGGCCGAAAGAAAAACGATAACCTGATGAATCCTCTTCTTCTTCTTGTGCGTTTTCTTCCTGCAACCTCAGTGCTAAATTCGAACAGCGCATTGGACTTGATGTGAAGGTTTCAGTGCGTTAAAACTCAAAAATAGCGTCAATGTGAAAAGACCACACAAAGACTAAAGCAGGGGTCTTTAATTAAAATTCAATAAGGTCCAGTTAGAGAAAATTTCCTCAAGCAAAGGTCCAGAATATCATAATGTCTAACTTGCATCATGATTCAGCGCCATAGACTCTATACTGAAGTAGCCCAGTAGGTATATTAACATCTTATACAGTCAACAACTGAATGTCAAATCAAATAAAGTCCAGTTCAGTCATATTTCAACAATATTTGTCAGTTTTCTCTTTTTAGAGCACGTCATGTGGAATAACTTCCCTCTGACTCACTTTCTTCTCTGACTGCTGTGTCTCGCCTCGTCCCTCCCCTGTGTGTGGGTCACCCACTCGAGTCTCAGTGCTCATCGTAATGCACAGAATCTGATTGGTTGAGCAGCATCACATGTGATATTTACAACGCATTCCGGGCCGCTAAAGCTACCGTAAATGCTGGAAAAGCTACACCGATTAAAACCGATTAAAAAAAAATAATTCCCCGTAGTTTACCGGTTATTGGCTCCAGATCTGCATAGGACAGCGTCTGGGTCCAGACTCGGACCTTGGTCCAACTATTAGTGACCTCTGGAAACATTAAACTACAATTAAGAAAGAAAAATACTGTCTCATGATGGTTTCCGCATGGGTCAGCACTCACTTACATGGTGCATGTGTAAAGGAACACAGTGATAGGAAACAGTAGCTCACAGAAAACTCCACTTCAACCTGCTGATCCATTTTTCTGACCAACATATTTCTGGACATTCACATAGCTGGACATTGGACTGAAACCCATCCTCATACTCATCCTCCAGCTCACAAACAGCTTTTTATCATTACTTGACTTTGTCGTTAGCGGACTGTAACCTATTCCTTTTATCAAAGAGCTCATTTTGAATGCTTTTAGTGGTCCATCATGAGTATTTGCCCTTTGCTTAGCCTTCACTCCAGCTTCCATTCTTCTCAGGAGACTCACTTTCAGAAATCTGCACCTCCAAAGTTCAGTCTTAGAAGCTGGTTGATCATTTTCTGAAGTGATCAAACACATTCAGTGGTGTTGAGGTCTGGACTCTGGGGTGGTCAGTCCATTGTTCAGCTTCTTTGTTTGATGTGTCCGTCTCCTTTTCTCAGTGAGGTTCTTCTTGACAGCTACACATCCTTTCAGACCCACAGCGCTGAGTCGTCTTCTCACAGTGGAAGGATGGACAGAAACACCTGTGGATGTTTTCAGATCTGAAGCAGCTTGATTTTCTCCTCTCTCTCAGAGATGAAAGCTTTAAGTGCTGTTTATCTGATGGGGGCAGGTTTGGTGTCCACCAGGTCTTCCAGGTGGTTGTTAGGAGGTCCATTTTCTCTGGAGCTTTTAAATTCCTGTTTTTCACTTATTTTCCTTTGACTTTCTCCTTCCTTTTGCAAGTGGACTGTCTTATATATCTAATCTCTTCAGAAATATCTCCCGATGGTTTAACCCTCCAAGGTGTGCATTATAATGCCAACTGGTATAAAATGTGTAATTCTTTGACATAAAGTAGACAATCTAAACATAATTTAAAGAAATTTTCAAGAATTATTTTTTGGGGACACTTTAGGGTGTGTTAACTTAAAGCAACAGTACCATAATGGTAAGAAATTGTTGTGTAACAGTCTGAACTTTATTACAAATAACATTATTATTATATGACATCTAGGTTGAATTTTAGAGATAAATAGAAAATCGTGATGACTGTTACACTTTTGAACAGTAGGTTAAGCTAAATAGACAATACCAAAAAATATAATGGTGGGAATTCATAAAAGTATAGTGTTGCTTTAAGGCAACATTTGCACTTTAACATGTTTCCACTACTTAATTATCAAATAAAGTACATTAAACAATTAGAAATGAAATTTTACTCAATCCAGTTCTTTCCAGATTATAAAGTGACAGAAAAGAAGACCAGTTTCAAGGGGGAGATGGTGGAGCTGAGTCATTTGGCAAAGACCACAAAAAATATTCAACATGGCTTCCAGAGAGTCATGTGACACATTCCAACACTGCTATTGGTTCCCTTAGCGCTCTGCCTCTTTTGTAAAGTATTGCATCATAATTCAGGATGTATTATGTGAGTATAGAAGGCCAAAAATGGGTATGTTGCCTAGAGGCAACACTGTACCGTTGAAGGTTAAATAAATAATGGGTGGTCTCTGACTTTTGCACATTGATACATTGAGAGAAACAAGTACAGTAGCTACTCAGAGTGTTTTTCTGCAAATCACCACAGGAATATAAATTAGGCTTAATTACTCTTTAAAACAACAGATCTAAAAACGCTGCGGGGGCGTGAATGGGCTGAACCTCTTGTCCTGACTTTGCAGTGAAAATCAGAGAAAAACAAGGCTGACCTGTTCGATCAACTCTCTATGAAGTGCTTTTCATAAAGGCTCAGTGTTAAATGTTTTAAACTGACAACAAAACTACTTCTTTTTGGCTCCTGAGGCTAAGATTAGGGTTTCAGGTTAGACTCTTATTGCGTATGGGTGCTTATATGTTGTAGCATCGTGCAGAAAAGAAGGAAAAGAGCCCATAATTTCTGTTCTTTAATGTTGAACACGACAGAAAAGCCGCTTGACTAACATTCGAAATAGCTGAAATCACCTACGGCCGTAAAATTCCAGTCTATGGACACTTAACACGCTACCTGAACCCACCACTCAGCAGATGAGCAAAGAGGAAACACATAAACACATTTCAAACTAACAAACGACAACAGCGGCCTCTTTTTACTGAGGGATGCGCACCTCCCATGAGCCTCTTCTCATGGCCATTTTGCATGCATGCTTGAAAGCTCCAATAGCAGCACAGTCAGTGGCGGAACAGCACAATATATGATGCATATAGGACATTATTATTACATATAGGTGCTTACATATATAGTACATATGGGACATATTATTACATATCGCTGTTGTTGGAAGAAAACTTCCATCTCCAAAATTGTAACTTTACCAAAGAAGGAAAAAACCTACTTTACTTTTAATGTAAGTCAATGGAACCAGAGTTTTTTCCAAGTCATTTTGGGCCGTTTCCTTTGGTCCATTCATCATTAAATTTACACATAATGTAAAGGACAACAGGCATTTTCAGACTATGTCAAAAACTGAAAAATGACAAAAATGGAGATTTTTTGGATGGACAAGGTTTTCTTCCAACAACCGCGATATACAGATACTTGTATACAATGTATAATACTTATGGAACAGTATTATTACATATAGATACTTACATATGCATAATACACATGGATATATTATTGCATAGAGATATCTCTATATGTATAATACATGTAGGACAGTATTATTACATACAGATACATATATAATACATATGGACATTTTATTACATACACATACTTACATATGCATAATACACATGGATATATTATAGCATACAGATACATGTATACAACACATATGGATTTTATTACATGTATATGTGGTACATTATGATTACATATAGATACTTACATATAGATAATACATGTGGGACATTATTAATACATGCAGATACTTATATATAATACACATGGACATATTATTATATAGAGATATGTAAACATCACTGCTGTTGGAAGAAAACCTCATATCTCCAAATAACTTTACAGGAGAAGGACCGTCATTTTGGGCCGTTTCTGTTGGTCCGTTCTTCATGAAATTTATAAAGAATATAAAGGACAACAGACACTTTCAAATAATGTCAAAAACTGAAAAATGTTTTCTTCCGACAGCAGAGATATATATAACTCACATGGACATATTGTTACATATAGATAAGTACATATATATATATATATATATATATATATATATATATATATATATATATATATATAATACATATGGGACATTATTATTACATACAGATGCTTACATTTATAATACATTTGGGACATATTACATACAGATACATACATATGTATAATACATATGGTCATGTGGATGGTGTGTGTGTGTCGAGCGGGGGTTACACAGAGTTTGAGATCTAATTGGAAAAGAATTGTAAAGTGGCTGAAGTTGCCTGAATGTCATCTCCATGGTTTCCTGGAAGGCATGTGTGATATGGTGTCTTGCTTCACTCCTGAGAGCAGAAGAGAAAAAGTCATTTCAGTTATACAGAATTTGCCCTTCAGACACTATAAGCTAACAGCTGCAGTGAAAATGAATGATAATTAGTCTGGTGTGTAAAGACTTGGAGCAGAACCCTTCATTTAGCTCCACTGCAGATGGGAATTCACAGGATAGAGTCATAAGTAGGGCTGAACGTGGCTTTTCAAACATACACACTCGGCTGAAGACCGATTACAGCTGGACTACCGGGGCTGTTTCTGTGGAGTGATGACTGTGGAGAGCCAGTGTTTTAATCCAGTATGAATCTGCAGTGTGTGTAGTTTTACAGTCTGACTGTAATAATTGTGGAGCGATTTTAATCCAGTATGAATCTGCAGTGTGTAGTTTTACAGTCTGACAGTAATAATTGTGGAGTGATTTTAATCCAGTATGAATCTGCAGTGTGTGCAGTTTTACAGTCTGACAGTAATAATTGTGGAGTGATTTTAATCCAGTATGAATCTGCAGTGTGTGCAGTTTTACAGTCTGACAGTAATAATTGTGGAGTGATTTTAATCCAGTATGAATCTGCAGTGTGTGTAGTTTTACAGTCTGACGGTAATAATTGTGGAGCGATTTTAATCCAGTATGAATCTGCAGTGTGTAGTTTTACAGTCTGACGGTAATAATTGTGGAGTGATTTTAATCCAGTATGAATCTGCAGTGTGTGCAGTTTTACAGTCTGACAGTAATAATTGTGGAGTGATTTTAATCCAGTATGAATCTGCAGTGTGTGTAGTTTTACAGTCTGACGGTAATAATTGTGGAGCGATTTTAATCCAGTATGAATCTGCAGTGTGTGCAGTTTTACAGTCTGACGGTAATAATTGTGGAGCGATTTTAATCCAGTATGAATCTGCAGTGTGTGTAGTTTTACAGCCTGACGGTAATAATTGTGGAGTGATTTTAATCCAGTATGAATCTGCAGTGTGTGCAGTTTTACAGCCTGACGGTAATAATTGTGGAGTGATTTTAATCCAGTATGAATCTGCAGTGTGTGTAGTTTTACAGTCTGACGGTAATAATTGTGGAGCGATTTTAATCCAGTATGAATCTGCAGTGTGTGCAGTTTTACAGTCTGACGGTAATAATTGTGGAGTGATTTTAATCCAGTATGAATCTGCAGTGTGTGTAGTTTTACAGTCTGACGGTAATAATTGTGGAGCGATTTTAATCCAGTATGAATCTGCAGTGTGTGTAGTTTTACAGTCTGACGGTAATAATTGTGGAGTGATTTTAATCCAGTATGAATCTGCAGTGTGTAGTTTTACAGTCTGACAGTAATAATTGTGGAGCGATTTTAATCCAGTATGAATCTGCAGTGTGTGTAGTTTTACAGTCTGACAGTAATAATTGTGGAGCGATTTTAATCCAGTATGAATCTGCAGTGTGTGCAGTTTTACAGTCTGACAGTAATAATTGTGGAGTGATTTTAATCCAGTATGTTCAAAATTCCTAATGTTGCAAGAAAACCCCCAGTTTGACCGGCAGCATCTTTTCAGGACGGGAGAAAACTTTTCCGGCCCCAACTTCCCCAAACTTGTGTTTAGAGTTTATTTTACCTGCTGCAGCTCTAAATCCTGTCAGGCTTTAAAAGGCCTGAACTGTCAAACAGAAGACAGAACGCTGTTGTGTAACTGCAGCTGTACTGAAGCTGCCAAAACCTGCCTTGTAACATTACATTGGATTTATTTCTAAACCTTTAGGTTTTCTTTTTAGATAAATGTGAGTTTTTTGGCTTTGGCTTTGCTCTGTCTGTCGATAGTTTGGACAAATCTAACTTTTCTGAATTGCTTTTAACCATTTAAATGGCCCGGACCCAAAGATTTACCACACACCTCTATGACCTCAGAATAGCTCAATTTCAGTTTGCAGTTTGCACTGAAGTCCCTGTAGTTACTGAATAATAAGCCTTAGTATGTAATAAGCCTGGAATTTGAAGGGATTAATACAAATATTATCATGTTTTCTTCGTCAGCTTCCAATAACTTACTGTATTTAAGGGTCAGACACTTTGATGAACAGGAAGCTCAGTGTTCAAGAATACGCAACAGGTTAGCGCATAGCTGCTTTATGCGGTAACACTTTCTATGAACTTTGTAAGCATCTATAAACACATTCATGACATGTTATAATGCATTCATAAGGCATTATAAACATAGCTATAAATATTTATAAAAATGAATTATATGTTATAGCCATGTTTATTATGCATTATGAATTGTTAACATAATACATTATAAGTACTGATCATAACAAGTTATAAGAGCTCATAAGTTGTATTTGTCCGCTCTAAGTAAAGTGAAGCGTACTGTACTAAAGCCTCCTCCAGTGTTCAGAGTGAGGCTGCAAGTTGAAGTATTTACTGAAGGATTTACTGAAACACTAAAACATACATAATAAAGCACATTACAGGCTTCAAATGTCAGAGTTTAAACTAGAGCTGCCATCAGTGTTTTACCTAATGTGGGAAAGGTAATGTACACCACTGTTAGCTTGGTATTTGTCTTTACGCTCTCCAAGCTGGGACTGACTTCTTTGGCACTGACAGTATAACATGTTATTAACACTATTTATAATGCATTATATTAACAATTCATAATATATAATAAACATGGCTATAAAGTGTAATTCAGTGTAATTTTTTTAATAAATATTTATAACCACGCTTATAATGCCTTATGAAAACATTATAACATGTTATAAATGTGTTTATAGATGCTTACAAATGCGACATTCATAGAAAGTGTTACCCTTTATGCTAACTAAACTTTTGCTCATATTTTCCTAAAACAGTGAGAAAATGTAAACTTCGACAGGTCTAATGATGAGGAAGCTGGTCAGGGAGCTAAATGTCAGTAAGGTTGTAAGAGAGAAATCTGTACTAAGCTGAAAGGCTAACCTACTTAGCTTTAGCACACGTTTCACTAATGGAATCTAGCGTATCGTTAAACGTGCCTGTGTTCAGCTGTAAAAGTAAAAAGGCGATGAGGTCATAGCTGGCTAATGTTCGATAGCCGTTTTATGCTAACCAAACTTTGGCAGTTAATTTTTTTCACAGAACTGAAAAAGGTACAGCAAGAAAACTCGAAAGAAGGCCAGGCATTCCCTTTAAATGAGCGCACAACACGCTAGCCTACTTAGCATTAGCACAAACGTATTCCTCTTGGCTCTGGATTTGTCCTGGATGGAATCCAGCCTTCATTATTAAACATGTGCATGTTTTCAGCTGTAAAAAGTTATTAGACAACATGGCAAATGATCACAGCTGGCTAAGGGAGGATAATTAGCTTCATGCTAACAAAATCTTTTCATTTTTTCTTACTTTTGTGGAAAAAAATACAGATTCCAGAACTGTTTTTCCCAACCTTTGATATCCGCAGGGCAGGAATCTAATGATGAGGAAGCTGCCAGGTAGCCCTGTAAAGTAATGTTATGAGTGAAAAAACCTTTGGCTGCTTGACAAGCTAACCTACTTAGCATTAGCGCACTTGGCACTGGACTCGCCTCGGATGAGGCTGAGCCAACATAATTGAACACGTGTACTGAGCCTTAAAAAGTCGTTAGGCCGCATGTGAAGTAATTATAACAGACTAACGAGGAGCGCTAGCAGCTAAAATGAGTGGCAGGCTCACCCACTTAGCATTAGCATTGGCTAATTAGAGTGGACTAGACTAGGCTGCCCTGCTGCTGTGCTGATGGTCGTGGTCTTCACTCGTCCCACAGTTACTCCCAGGAGAACCTGGACAGGATGTACAGCTGGGCTCAGGCCCCCGGGGTGGACCCCCAGCGGCCCGGTTCCGCTCCGCTGTACGGGCGGTTCTGCTACAGCATACACACCCTGCCGGCGGTCCGAGACCGGATCGGCCCGTTCGACTCCCGCCGGGACCTCACCAAACTGACCTACACGCTCCCCAGCGCGCAGACGCAGGACTGCGGACCCCTGGATCCGGGATGTGTGTTCACGGGCCTGGCGGAGCTGTCCAAGAGAACCGACCAGAGCAGAACCGGAGACGAGCACCAAGGAACCGAGAGTTCTGCTGAGAACAACCTGAAAGAGAGCGAGACAGGAAGTGAGGTCGTCTCTGAGAGTCAGACTCTCTGTCAGGATCAGGTGAGGAGCAAATCAGACATCTGTCACACTTTATTATGAAGAATTCAGTATTCAGTGCTGATCATCACGAGAAGGACTGAAATGAACAGATGAAGGAATGAATGAATGAATGAACGATGCATTAGTTGATGGACTAAAAGACTAATGTATGAAGTACTGAAATGAACAAATGAACAAACAAACAAATGAATGAAAGAAAGAATGAATGAATGAATGAATGATGCATTAGTTGATGGACTAAAAGACTAATGTATGAAGTACTGAAATGAACAAATGAACAAACGAATGAATGAATGAATGAACAAATGAATGAATGAATGAATGAATGAATGAATGAACAATGCATTAGTTGATGGACTAAAAGACTAATGTATGAAGTACTGAAATGAACAAATGAACAAACAAATGAATGAATGAATGAATGAATGAATGATGCATTAGTTGATGGACTAAAAGACTAATGTACGAAGTACTGAAATGAACAAATGAACAAACGAATAAATGAACAAACGAATGAGTGAATGAACAAATAACTGGTGAATTAATGAATGAAATAACAAATGTATGAACGAAAGAATAAAGAATTCATTCATTAAAAGTCAATTTATCATCAATGATGTCAAAACAAATTGAATAATTAAATGAGTAATTAAATAATTATGTAATAACGAATAATTAAACGAATAAACAAATGTGTAAATAAATGAATGAATTAAAATGAAACAAAATTACATGAAGAAATGAACAAAATAATTAATTAAACTAATTGAATTATTTAATCAACAATCAGTAAATCAGTCATGCATTGCTTAATTAGTTCATTAAGAATTTCATTAAAGAACAAAAACGACTGAAAGACCTAACAAGCAAAAGAATGAATGAATGAACAATTGAGTTAATTATTAATTGAGCTAAACACAGTGAGTTAGTCATCCACTGGTTAATTAGTTAAAAATTAAATCAAATTAGTTAAAAAAGAAATAAATTAATGAAGAAATTGAATTAATTACTTAATTAGCGAATGAATCAACTATTTAAAAATGAATAAAACATAACAAATAACTGAACAAATGTGTAAATGAATATATTAACTAACAAACACATGAATAGATGAATGGTTAAACAAAGAAATCAGTTCATTACTGGAAAAAACATGATTAACAATAATAATCCTGCATTCTTTAACAAGTTAATTATGAAATTAATGATGAATGAGTGAACAAACGATGACTTTAAATAAACAAACAAATGAATGAACTGAACACCAATCTGTCAGTCAGTCAGGCATTAATTGATTAGTTAATTAAGAAAAGAATGCATAAACAAATAAATGCATGAGTGAAAATGAATTAATTGATGAATGAATGAATTAATAAATCAATTACTAATCGCTAGTTTCGTTAACAGATTATCAATTAACTGCATCATGAAGTCAATCTTTCCATAAATCGTGCATTAATCATTGGCTGGGTATTTATCTAATTTGCATATGTAGAGATCTTGTAATGCCTTAATTATTCTGCTGTTTATTTTTATAGACTGACCAAACCTAATTTACCCTGTACTGAAGGTCTCTGTACTGTCAGCATTGCCTTCCGTCACCAGGGACTTTTATTTTAGGTTGTTTGCTGTAGAGGAGCTACTACAGTCATTTTACTATACTATTTAAAGCTAATAACATACATAACTAATGCTGCATCAGCAAATCTGATGTCAGTCTAGAACTCTGTAGTGAGTGATGTGACTGAAGACAGACCCCACCCTATGGGCTTGAGTGGTCTTCTGCTTCATGGCTGAGCTGCTGTTGCTCCTATATGATTCAGTTTCACAGTGATAGCACTTACAGTTGTCTGGGGCAGATCTAGCAGGACAGACATTTCACAGACTGACTTGTGGTGAAGGTGGCATCCCATGACAGTGTGATGCTGAAAGTCACTGAGCTCCACATACATTTGGCCATATAACGAATGCAGTCGATGGTTCAGCTCCTCCATGACTGTAGCCTCTCTTTCTCGTTCATACAGCTCATATATTCTTGTTACAGTGGAGGTTCTCGAGAGGGAGCTGGAGCCTCTTTCCACTTTCTTTAATTAGTTTGCTGCTCATTGATTTATCCATAGTTCCCCCACAGCGCTGCCCAGCTGAAGGTGCTGAAGGTATTTGGACATGAGGGCTATGGATTCTATCATAGCAACATAAAGCTTGTTGCAGCTGGACCTCAGCCTGGAAAATGCACTTTTGGCAGCCTTAATAAAATTACAGCATGCTTTTATTATGGCGGTGATAACTGTGACCAAGGATTAATGTCTCTCTTCCTCTTTTTCCCTGCCTTCTCTCTCTCTGTCCAGTCTCTGACCTCTGACCAGGCTCCGGTGGTTCAGAGCTCCAGTCAGAGCGACTCCAGCAGCTCCGCCGGTCACTCAGCCGGATCGCTGACCCACCACACCTCCGCCGCACACGCCTCCTCGACCTCCACTATCGTGTCCACCGTCGCCACGGACGACACGCCCTCCACGCACACGCCCACGGAGGCTCCCATCAACACCAGCCAAACCTCGGCGCCGTTCAGAACAATGGAGGGGACCCTGCTGAGAGGCGGCGGAGTGATACCTTTAGCCGGAACTACTTGTTTGTACCCCAAAGCGGGCGATTTGGTGGGCGTGTACGCTCTAGCAGGGCGGGACTTCGCTCAGCGGGTGGTGATGCCTTTCCCTGGCCCTGGAGGGGCGGGGCTGTACATGGGTAGGTGGGGCCTAGGCAGGCGAGATGGGCAGGGGCCTGGGCCCGGGAGGGGCGGGGCTAACCCTCTAACCCACAGGATGGGCGACTTCCTGCAGCACCGCCTGGCCCAGGTGACTTTCGACCCCATGCAGCCGCCGTACGACTCGCTGCAGACGTACGGGCTGGAGGGGGCGGGATCGCAGGCCACCTCCCTCAGCTCCCTGGAGAGCGAGGGCGAGCGAGGGATGGAGGGGGAGGAGATAAAAGACTGGGGGCCCAAGTTTCACAAGCTGCTGGAGATCTTCAGAGAGAGGGAAACGGAGGAGGGGAAAAAAGAGGAAAAGGAGGAGGAGGAGGAGGAGGAGGAAAAGAAGCACACCGAGGAGGAGAGAACGGAGGAGAAGACGCAAGAAGACACTAAAGACGAAGCCGAGCCATAGAGACAGGCAGGAAGGAGTGGGACGGAGGGAATAAAGGATGAATTCTCTTCAGAGAACAGCGAGATAAAGGCGAAAAGAGAGAGAGCGAGGCGCTCTAGGGAATGTATACTGGAAGAAGTGGTGATAATTCCTGCTGTGGTAATTCAAAAGCAATTATTATTAGAATTTAATATATAATAGTATAATAAAACTGTTGGAAAGGAGCTCCAGAAGAAGCAGGCGGAGAGAATCTTTAGCGATTCTACATAAAGACGAGTTCCACTGACTTTTTCTTTTAAATTTCTGCATAATTGATATGTAAGCAAAGTCACTCCGAGCGGTTCGGTGCGGAATGCGGCATTTCGGGGAAACTAGAGCCAGTGGTGGTGATAGGAACCGGACGTCCACCTCTAAAAGCTCCGTCACAGAGAGTTCTTACATGAAACGTAATGTTATGAAGGCACAAATATCAGGACAAATAGTCCCTTATTTTTCAGATGAATCACTAATTTACATATAAAGCTCAGAAGAGTCATGGCGACCCCTGGTTCCTATCACCACCGCTGTAAAGACATCTGAACCATTTCACACCAAACCACTCTGAATCACTCTGTTTACATCTCATCCATTCAATTATGCAGAATTTTTAAAAATTCGCTGGAGTTTCCTTTCAGTTTCTCACACAAGCACAGACGTAGCACACGAACATTCTCACCGAGCTCTTGCTACACCACGAGAGGTGCGGGAGCTGTCGCTCTCCACAATCTCCCATTACATTTGCATAAATAATTCACTCTTGCACTCCCAGCCAAAGTTACGAAACATCTCATATCTGAAATATTGATTTTAGGCCCTGCGAGCTGCATTGTTTGAAAAATAGGCCTCATGAAAAATGCACTGTCCCCGACGTATGAATATTGATGTTTATGTATTAATAAAAAAAAAAAGCTGCTCCCGCTTAAAGGAGCAGAAACCCAATTAGGTTCAAATGGTTTTGGAGAGAGTACGAATAATACTGCAGCGCTGCTTTTACAAGGTCACGTCGGCCTCCCACGGCGACTCTTTTTAGCCCGCATGACTTCTTAAACTCCTCCCGACGTCTTTTGTCCTCGCTTGTGAGTCCCAGAGCTTTACCTGATCTAGCTGAGCACACTGTCGATCCGCTGTCCGCCCTCGTTTAGGCTCGACCGAAGCCCTTCGCCCTCCACCCTCCACCTGGAAACTGAACCATCCTGAATCTCGACTTTTCTGAAGCTCCACCCTTTCAGCCTGGTACTGACCGAATGGGCAAACGGTTCCATGATGACACTTCATGTTTCCGAACTGGAAGAAGATGCGTCTGTGTTGTGGTTAAAGCAACAGTTCAGCAAAATATCAAATTTACACAACTTTACGCTCAGATCTAGTCGCTCAATCAAGACAGGTTTGATGTCCAAACTGGGCTTCTTTACTTTAGGCCTGGAGCCGCATGGCTAATGTACTTAACAAACACTAGAAGTCAATAGTCACCCAAATCTTTTCCATGAACATTGATCCCTAAAACTTCTTTCAACCTGCTCAACAACAGAAATTGAGTGTAATCCAGCGTCGGTATCCTTGTGTGATGAGCATGCACATGAATTTTATCACGGGGAAGGGTGTTGTTAGGCACGATGCGAAGCGAAATGCCTAAAACTCCCTTTCTCAATGGCTGAAGCTTTAAGGAGAGTTTCCAGCTTGATCTCAAATAAACACACCTTACTCACCGTCGCCCTCTAAAGGTGCTGTAGCACGTTATTAAGTAGACCTTTCATTGTCATAAAACCGATGATGTGTCTTAATTTCTGCTTTCATTGCTTTCTTTTCTTCTGTATAGTTTAGCCTCATGCTGAGCCAAATGAAATCACTTCTTTACAACAGTGTGGGCAGATGATTGATGGACTGTACTTGGTGTAAAGTGTAAATGAGATTTTTTGCCAGATTATTCCTTTAAGGCCTTCCAGCTCTGCTTTAAGTGACCATAAAGCGGCATCAGATCTCGAGGGTGTTGGAAATGGTTTCTCCTTTAATTTCCACACCTCGTTGCAAATATTATGACCATCTGAACTGCAGCTCATCGGAACTGGCCGGTGCGTAAAAAATGAGCACAGAAGCTACTCGCTCTGCAGGCTAACCGGACTGAAGCTGAGGCGAACGAGGATCTGGACGCTGGTTGAGGTTCAGGATGGTTTTGTCCAGGCTGCCCCGCCCTGTCACACACTATGCAACGCAAACCCCAAAACAGTAGATTCCTCGAGTGAAAACACCCGTTTAAGTTCCTCCTCCGTCTCCCCTTTAAGCTACGGATGAAAATAGATGTCATTATTTCCTGTGTATATATGTAAATATCACTGTATTGTTGAACAGATATGATGATCAGAGTTTGTTATTGGTTATTTGTCTATATGTGACTGTAGAGTTTAGATTTACTATGGAGGCTTTTTCACTGATTCTGGCACGAGGGCTTAGTTCCCCCATTCTGCTGGTGTTTTTGTTTTTTTGGTGTACAATAAACAGGAAACTGTGACCTGCAGCAGATTCTTCAGGACTCCTGAGCCATTTCTTTCTCACAGCATGTTCAGGCCAATTCAATTTAAACTGAGCTAAACTGGAGTTTCCTTTGGAGCCACAGCGGAAATAAATGATGAGATTCTGTGTTGTGCTGCATTTTCTCTCGGAATATCGCATTTTAAATTATGAAATAAATCCAATCGATGAGTCAGAGCAGCCGAAAAAGAAGAACACAGCCAGACTGAGCGTTTTTAGTTAAGCGCCTGTTGTTATTATTACTATGCTTCGCTTAGAGGCCTTGACTTAATACCTTCATTTCACTATTATGTAATTACATCATAACTACATAATGGAATTTACATTTTATTTACATTCCGTATCGACACGCTCAAGTTTGCAATTCCACGTTTTTCTTTCTTTTGATGTCAGACATTCAGTTGGGACCACAAATGTAAAAAGACCAAGTAAAAAACACCTCTGTGATAAATTAGCACCCCTAACAGATTCTTCGACAGCCTCATTTCCAAAAAAGTTGGGACGCTGTGCAGAATGTAAACAAAAATAGAATGCAATGATGAGCAAATCATGAAAACCATATTTTTAAAGGAAAATACTACATACGACCACATATCAAAAGTTGAAACTGAGAAATGTTATTGTTTTGCTCATCAGTTTAAGGTCTCCTTTGTTGTATTTTTCATTTCATAATGTGCCAAATGTTTTCAGTGGTGACAGGTCTGGACTGCACGCAGGTCAGTTTAGCAGCTAGACTCTTTTAATACGGAGCAATGCTGTTGTAATACGTGCAGAATGTGGTTTGACATTGTCTTGCTGGAACAATCAAGGCCTTCCCTGAAAAAGACGTCGTCTGGATGGCAGCTTATGTTGCCAAAACCTGTATATATCGTTCAGCATTAATGGTGCCTTTACAGATGTGCATGTCACCCATACCATGTGCACTAATGCACCCCTATACTATCATGAATGCTGGCTTTTGAACTGTGCACTGATAACAAGCTGAGTGGTCTTTAGCCCGGAGGGTTAGGTTTTGGGTTGAGGTTAAGGTTAGGATTAGGTTTTGGGTTGAGGTTAAGGTTAGGGTTAGGATTAGGGCCAGGTTTAGGGTTAGGTGTTGGGTTAAGGATGGTAAGGTTAGGTTTTGCGTAATGGAAGTAACATATTAGCAACACATCTACTTAATGTAAGTAATGTATCAACCGAACATCTACAAGACATTTACTTCAGTGTGTTCAGATGCTTCACTACTGCTACTTCACTGATATGATGATGTGTTACTGATAATCAGTGTATTTATCAGTTTATTATCATCTACTAAAGAACCACTCCAAGTAAAGAGTTACCAAAAATGAAACCATAAAATGTGGCCTGTGCAAAAGTTATGACACATCTCATATTATATGTTTACATTTTTTCCAGTATGTCAGCGAATAAATAGAAATTGTCCAGGAAAATCACCTATTTTCAGCAAAACCAGGGGTGCCTGAACTGTTGCATAAAACTATGTTTAGATATCTAACATGCAGTGATTGCAGTGGGCTATGCAGCTCAGTATTAATCAGTCCAGCATTACTTCCCTTTCAGTTCACATTGACTAATAGGCTAATTTATCGGTTCATAATTAGGAATTTTCAACAAACTCATCAAAAATGATTAATTCCATGGAAATTCTAACAATATTCAAATGAAACTAGAAAGAAAACAACCTCACCTTCCCAACACATGGACAGACGGCTGCAGAAAGCGTTACCATGGCGACTGGGTGGGTGGGCCCAGCCGGACCGCCGCTTTCCATTGGCTGAACAGGTGTAGGCTGGACTTGAGGTGTGTTTAGCACTGGTTTAGTCTGTGCAGATGCTTTAGAAACAGTATAAAGCATCTACATGCAGGTTTACGTACAAAAACAAATTCCTAGATTACGAAAGATCCGACTTTCATCCCTGGAAAGGTTTTCCAGTGCATTCCGGCGTCCCACCCGAACCACCAGCTACAAGTGAGAAACAATGTATATGAAATTACAACATCCTTTGTTATCAGCAATAGCTGTGACTTCTAAGGGCTAAGCGAGGTTGAAGGAAACCGAATGAGTACAAAATGACCAGTCCAGTAAACCCTGAGTGGTCTACGTAGCCCTATATAATCATTCCACCACAGGGCAAGGAGATGATTATGGAGTGATGCATGCTGGGAAATGGAGCCTATGACTATAATTAGGTCTGTTTATCTGGAGGGAAAATGACATAAAAAAGCACTATTAAGCATGTATTATTATTATTATCATGTAATTACAATCAGTACCACACCCTCTCTTCCT